TGGTAAAGTTTCAGGTAGAAAGGATGGCATATTTTTGAACTGCCTAGGATTCTAAGACTGTGAACCTCACTGTAGTCCTTTCTATTGGGATGGTCATCTGTGTAAACCCCACTTGAACTGAATGAGAGCTCACTGGACCCCTAGTCTGGAGAAGCCTGACTGAAGCCAAGGGGGTTATTGCCCTGGAAAAACTGAATGGAAAGTCGTAGTTATAGAAACACAAACAGTGTCACCAACCAGGCAATGTAGATAAAACACTGAAAAGGTAATCAGAATAAAATTCATGGTTTTCAAGGGAGTATAGTAAACATGCAGATTTACCTTTGCTTATCTGTTGCAGAGCCTGATCCTAATTCTGCACATGTGGCCATTTTTTTTTAAAAAAAGCTGGAAACTTAACAGTCAGCTTTGGGAAGGGGTGTGAAAGGGGAGTAGCCCCTCCTCTGAACAGCAGACATTTTCTTTTTACAAAGAGGATGCACACACAGCCTCCGCTAGGGTCTTGCCCTATACTTACAATACTGAGACACATCATGATTGCAATACAGTTAATGTATACAACATAAAACAGACTCTAGTGGCCCTGTCTCCTTATGCTTGGGCAGTGAAGGCCTAGTCTATGATGGAGGTGATATTAGTCCCTGAGGATTACAAAAATGAAATCGGCAAGATGATCTTAGTGGAAAGTGGGTGACCTTGAAAAATGCAATGGAGGGACGGAAAAGTGTACTTTCTCATCCATTACTCTAATGATTATTGAGTGATCTTTCTGGGAACATTATGGCTTTAGAGCATTTGGCTCAGGTGAAAGGGTGGGACAAACTGGAATGGTCAAACAGAATGATCAACAGTAAATGATAAAGCTAATGGAAAGCTATCCCAGAAGATCCCTGAAGTCTAAAAGGCCTGAGTAGGAAAGTGCAATGTTAAGACGCAAAAGGAATGATTTACATAGAATGATCCCCTGTACTCCACCCATGTGACATTCTAGGAACAGTGCAAAGAACAGGATGGAATGAATAATTTCAGACCCCACAATATGCTTATTTATACATGGCTATAAACTACAAAATGAGGAATACCTTGGTGCAAATCCATTTAAAAGCACACTGCTCATCAGTTACAGACTGCTAAAGGGCATATGCTACCATAGAGATGCCTACCCTTCGTTTCCATTCTTCTTTGAAAAGGGTGATGCTTTGGGCAGCTTTCCCTAGGTCATGCCATGCTAGATTTGTTGCAGTGTTTCTGCAGTGGGCTCAGAAGAAAGGAAATCTTGACTCATAGAAGGTTACGGGTGGCGTTTCATTTTGCTTGGCATGCATGCCTCCAACACCATCCCACAGATCTGTTGTCTAAAGCTCCCAGCAAATATAACGCTTTTCATGAGTAAACATATTTACCACCCTATGCCTCTCAAAAACAAACGATAAACATAATCCAGGTTGATTTAGGTGCTTTTGATTTCAACAGAAAAGATTTAAGTACATGCTTAACTCTTGCACTGAAGTCAATGAACTTTCAAAGGGCTTAACTCTGCCCCTCTCTCTCTCTCTCTCTCTCTCTCTCTCTCTCTCTCTCTTCTTGTCATTGTCATCATCACCTATCTATCTGTCCTAAACATGTACATCAAAGGCTATTTGATGTATAATTACTAACAGTGAAACACTGGCAGCTTATATTAGCAAATTTTCCCCAGGACGAGGTGAGTAGTTTTTCAATTTTAGGACGTCCCGAGAGTGATCATTTCCCTTTGGCTTTGGTTCTCAACTTTATTTCCACCTCTAGGGAACAGGACCTCCAGGGTTTGAGGGCAGGGGAAGGGTGCAAAAGTTTACCCAGGTGTAGATGGTCGGATAGAGTGGCCCAAAAAATCAGTGGTGTTTTGACCCTACAGAGACTGAATGAGCTTATAGCTCAGTCTAAGGCTATGAATGGGACTCCAGACCTGATTCAGGCTTATGAAGGAGTCATTAAACAGCTTGTAGATGTGATGATATTAGGCCAGGACCAGGCAAAAAATGGAAAGAGGCAGCAGAAAGCCACTTGGTTTGATAGGGAGTGCCTTGAAGCGAAGGCCCATGTACGATCTTTGTATCAGATTTATAGGAGTTCTTGTTGTGAGTATTTCCCAACAGTATATTTTGAAGCCAAAGCATCCTTAAGTAAATTGTTCAGAGAGAAAAAAAAAGCCGCCCTCCAGAAAAACTGGGAGCCTCTTCTCCAAGCCACAATTAGCAATGATGCTAGGAAATTTTGGGCGGTGATTTCCGAGGCTCTAGGCAGGAACAGAACTACGAATTCCCCAATTACCGCCAAGGCCTGGTACGAACATTTCCTGAAGATCTTTTCGGTAGATGGAAGGAGTGAAATTGAGGATCTCGAAATCAGTCTAGGGGATTGTCCCGAGTGGCCGCCGGTGCAGGATGTAGAGGTTGCCACGCTAATTGCTCAAATTAAGGCTGGGAAGGCGCCGGGACCAGATGCAATTCCCCCGGAGGCCATTAAAGTGATTCCGGAATGGTGGGCGTCCTTCTTAGCAGTTCTATTTACTGCTATAGACAGGACAGGAATAATACCTGAAGCATGGACCAATGCTATTATCGTTCCAATTTTTAAAAAAGGTGACTGTAGATCACCTAGTAATTATAGGCCCATTAGCCTGATTTCCATACTAGGGAAACTCTATGCAAGCCACTTGGCGTCTAAACTTAAGGCCTGGATGGCTGAACAAAAAATCCTAGGTATAGAACAAGCAGGATTTTGTCAGGGGAAGTCAACTCTGGATCACTGTATTGTGCTAAGTCACTTAGTGAATAAATACAAAAAAGGGAAAGGGTCCAAGTTGTATGCTGCCTTCCTGGATCTGAAGAGTGCTTTTGATACTGTCTCAAGGGAGCTTCTATGGAAGAAGTTAAGGCTGTTGGGAATTGAAATGAGATTGCTCCTGTTGATTAAGAAATTATATACAGATACCACTTGCCAAGTAAGAGGCTCTAGGGATGGTGATTTAACCCCGAAAATTTCCATCAAAATAGGGGTTAAGCAGGGCTGTGTATTGGCTCCCCTCCTTTTTAATCTTTTCTTAAATGATTTGGCCACGGGGTTAGAGAGGATTGATGGTCACAGCCCAATTATGAGCTCGCGACCGGTGCCCCTGCTATTGTTTGCAGACGATGCTGTAGTTCTTTCTAGGTCTGAAGTAGGGATAAAGAGACTGTTGGCACATTTTATAGAATATTGTGAGCTGAACGGATTATCTGTGAATTTTGACAAAACTAAAATAATGGTGTTCGGAGATTCCTGGAAACCCATCAACTGGCGTGTTAAGGGTAACACCATTGAACAGGTGAAGTGTTTTAAATATTTGGGAATTAACTTTCATCATAGTGCAAGGTGGGTAGCCCACAGATCAGAAGTAATTAAATCTGCGAACAGCTGTGTGCTAGCAATAACCCGTTTCTTTTTTACCAAGGGTAACCAGTATGTTCCTGCGGCCCTAAAAGTGTTTCAGCACAAAATTGGAGCGAAGCTTCTTTATGGGGTGCCCATTTGGATCACAGCTTTTAACAAAATGGTAGAACAACTCCAATCCAATTTTGTGAGGAAAATATTAGGGTTGCCCCTGTGTGTTTCCTACGCCGCTATTTGTTTGGAAGTCAATATGATACGCTTGGAAACAAGGGCTTGGATAATTACCTTCAGATTTTGGCTACGTTTGCACTTTAGGAACTGTCCCAATAGCCTTATTACATATCTGTTGGAAGAGTCTCATTGCTCTGAGTGGTTTGCTGCTATAGAAAGGAAAATCGTCTCAATAGGGTTATGCGTGAATGATATGATGTCCTTATCTGAAGCACACATCTTTGCCCTGCTCAAACAGAGATTAATTGATATTGAGATGCAAGAGCTTAGAGCCTTGGCTTCTGGTAGATGCTCCCCTTTAAGATGGGCACGTTTTCCGATCAACACCCCTGCACAATACTTATTGGATTTGACTTCTCCACAGTTGCGTAGAGCATTTATGCTGGCCCGCTTTAACGTGCTCCCCTCTGCGGTTTTAGCAGGAAGATTTAAGAAAATCCCCTACTCTGTTAGGTTTTGTGATTGTGATTCAGAGGAGATTGAAACAATCGAACACGTATTCCTCCACTGTAGTTTGTATGATGACATTCGGGCAGTCTGTCTAGAAGCCATACTTAAGAAAGATGTCAAACAATCAGATGACAGAATGTTGTACCGTTTATTGGCTTCACAAAATACAGTGGTTATTGAAGCGGTGGCTAATTTCTGTAACTGCCTTATAATGAGGAAGCTATGTGTTAAATCAATGAACTGAAGGGGGACTGTTTATGACTCTGATCCATGCCAATAAAGGTTTTGAATTGAATTGAATTGAGCAAATTTTCCTTGCAATAAATATCTAAAATAAATGTTTAACAACTAGGGGGAAATGTGCTAATGAAGTCTTCACTTTTGCTGTTCAACACTCACCATCTCTAGCTATAATGCCAGCTCAGAGGAAGCAAACTGTACGCTACAAAGTATAATTCACAACACAGTTACTTTGGAGAACTCTATTGAAGTGAGAATGTTTCAGAGGAGATAGGCAATAGCCTGTGGCCAAGTTGGGCCATTGTATTTGCCTACCAATGTTTATGTAAAGGTTTCCCTTGCTTGAAAACCAGTCAAATCTGACTCTAGGGGGCGGTGCTCATCTCTGTTTCCAAGCTGAAGAGCCAGCGCTGTCCGAAGGTGTTTCCACGGTTATGTGGCCGGCATGACTAAATGCCGAGGCGCAAGGAATGCTGTTACTTTCCCACCAAAGTGGTACCTATTTATCCACTTCAAGTTTCTTGCTTTTGAACTGCTAGGTTGGCAGGAGCTGGGGCCAGTGATGGGAGCTCAGTCCATCACGTGGCACTCGGGTCTTGAACTGCCAAACTTCAGACCTTCCAGTCTGCAGCTCAGCATCTTAACCTCTGAGCCACATGGCCCTCTTGTGTAACTTCAGTTAGAAATCTTTATGATTAAAAAGTTGAGAACTGACCCCTCCCTCTCACAAGAGCAGAACAGCATGCTCTGGGGCACAAGTTCCAGAGGTCACATGGCTGATCTATTTTGCTTGCAGAAGTTCCCAGATTCAATCCCTGGCAGCTTTAGTGAAAAGGATCAGATAACTGGTGATGTGAAAAGACCTCTACTGGAGAACCTGGAGAGTTTCTATCAGTCACAGTAGATAATGCTGACCTTGATAGACCGATGTTATGACTCAGTATAAAGGCAGCTTTATGCATTCCATCAACTTGTGTAGCATGGAAAGGATAATGGCTGGCACACTTCAGACCACAGCTGGCTAGGATGATGCATGGAGGAATGAGGGCTCCATTGAGCCAATTTCTCTCCTCAACTCCTTTGAAGGAAGGGACTATTCCCCTGATTTTCTTTTTTACAGGAAAAAGACTCAGGATGTATTTATTTGCTCAACATGACAAATTCCTTCTGAAAATGTAAGCATCCAGAGATACTCAGACTCTACTAATTTAAGGGAGATTTATATTAAATAACTGAGAAGGCAAGTCTGGGGATGCCTAGGGGCTAGTGCTTCCTATCTATCATCTGTCTGTAGGCTGACTAGCAACTCAACAGAAGTATCTAGAAAACAATACGGAGACAATCCAGCCAACGTCAAGCACTTTTAATGGCTTAATTAGAAGTTAGGAGTGATATAGACAGGTGGCCACCTTCTATCATTCCTTTATGATGGTAAACACAACACATGCTGTGTGATGCTCCATCTCTGCTTTACACAATTGGCTGTTGACTGTGGAGGCAGGGCACTGTAGCATGATGATGTCACACCAAACATTGAAACCTTACAAGAAACTGAGGGCAAAGAGACACATCGTGGTGGCTGTTCTGCATTTCTTGCACTGCCTCATTATGCTCTAAGTACCACTGATTTCAGTGGGAGAAATTTAAGCATGTGCTTAACTATTCCACTGCACTTACTGGAATTGGCATCTTCATGCCTCATTCTTCTATTATAGCCATCACCACTATATTAACATCAGTGGTGACTCGATCCTAAGAGTTGTTATATTAACAGGCAAGAGGTCAGGGCAGGGTGGACCAAATGCAATAGTGCAACATCACAATGGAAGCTGTTCCACTGCTGTTGCAGGCCCGTTGTGCTTAGGTGGAGCATTTCCACAACAATTGCTAATCTGTGAGATCTAGAAGTTTTAGAACAGGGTGTGTAGCCAGAGCTTGTAACAGCAGCATAAAATTGTGGGTATTCAGATGGGCAGTTTTTCCAAGCAGCTAAATAACACAACAGGAAAAGCTTCACTTGCTCATTTTATACATGTTTGGTTGCAGTCAGGCACAGGAAAAAGGGCTAGTAAGACGCTGGAATCCCTAAGTGTTACTAAAACTATTTAACTGTGAGGGTCATCATTTTGTCTGCACAGAATTTAGCTCGGGATTCTGCAAGGAAAGTGGGAAAGCAGAATATTTTTGATGTCATGACAGTATCAAGTTAAGATGCTCTTTGGCCGTAGTGTCAAAGCAAAGCAAGAAGATGGGTGCCAATGGAGACCCAGATAAGGGGCTTTCCCCCACTTTGCCTGCACAGGAGTCAGTTTTAGATCCCATGCAAGCCCCCTTTTGGCAAGCTGAGCAACTGCTGGCATGATGAGTACATGATACAAGCACAAGGGGGGGGAGATTTGTGTCACTCTTCATCAAGGATGACACAGGTACTAACTAAGAGGGGCCAGTGACATGCATGCACCTCCCTTCTGGACCAGGCTTGTACCAGTAGTGATGGACCAAGTGGAATGCAGGCCACCAGACATGGACTTTGACCAGCCAGGACTTTGAAAGCTTCCATGTTTTTATGCCCTCAGGCAGGCAGAACAGGACATGATCTAAGGGCTGGTTTCCAGATCTAGTGACCCACGGTTACTGTGGTGGGTGACAAGCTGTGCAGGCTTATTCTGGGCAACCCTCTGAACTGCAACTGCCCCACTAGCGAGAAAAAGAATAGCATTTCCCAGCAACATTATATTGTGATACAAGTGCTGAGTGAGTGTGATATCCCTGAAACAACAGCACTTCCCTGAGGAAAGATGTCTAAATTCAGGGCAGCAAATGATCAGTGTCTCTGTATTTGCTGCACTGTAAACTGGTTGTCTAGAAAGACCCTAGAAGGAGAGAACTCCTAGGTGTGCTATTAGACCTCCTCCACTAAATGCATGTGCATGGTATGAAACCCTCAGAGTTCCCTGGGAATAACAGTAAATGGGACTACGGGACTGCTGGATTCAAGGTCCAGAGCAGTCAAGAAGCACTCGACAGCGGCCTCATTTTTGCCCTGAGCATGAAGAACTTCTCCAAGGCTGTTCCAGACTTTGTGGCTGGTGCTCTGTACCCGGACAGCATCCTGCAGAACTTTCTGAGCCAGGCTTTTTCGCCCAAGCCTATTCAAGAGCAGCCCCTGCAAAGAAAAGATAACCCAGTGTTAGCACATGAACTCAGGCATTCAGTAGCAAGCCTGACTCTAAGACCAAGGCAATTTGTGGTGGAAGTGGATAATTGGGATGATTTATTTGAGGGTAAGTGGCTTACCAACCAGGAACCCCCCCCCTCAGATTTCTTAATGGATCCTAGTTCCCCAGCCGTTCATTCCCACTCTCCATGGGAACCTACAGATTAGCAATGTTAATGATGGAATACTTAGAAGGACTTCCCACTGGTTTCTGCATGCTCTCATTTTTAAGGACTAATCAGAAAACAACAACAACCCTGATTTCCTGGATTAAATCAAAAGTTCATCTACTAGTCCAAAATTCTGTGCTCAGCAACAGCCTCTCAGGTGTTCTCCCCCGCCAATACTTTTTTCAAATCTGCTGGTAATCTAACCTAGTCTCCTGTGTTACAGCAACAAATTCCTTCAGTCACATTGGATACCCCAGCCTAGGGTTGTCAGCCTCCAGGTGGGGCCTGGAGATCTCCCAGAATTAGAACTGATCTCCAGGTGACAGAGATCAGTTCCCCTGGAGAAAATGGCTGCTTTGAATGGTGGACTTTATGGCATTATACCCCACTGAGGTCCTGCCCCTCTACACACCTCTCTCCTCCCAGGTATTTCCCAAACCAAAGTTGGCAACCCCACCCTACCCCAAATTCTAGAATTATAAGAGACAGAATCAGTTTGGTGTAGTGGTTAAGTGTGGAGACTCTAATCTGGGAGAATCAGGTTTGATTCCCCACTCCTCCACTTGCAGCTGCTGGTTGACCTTGGGCAAGCCATAGTTCTTTCAGAGTTGTTCTTGAAAGAGCAGTTTCTGTCAGAGCTCTCTCAGCCCCACCTACCTCACAGGGTGTCTGTTGTGGGGAGGGGAAGGGAACGGAGTTTGTAAGCCACTCTGAGACTCCGAGTGAAGGGCGGGGTATAAATCCAATCTCTTCTTCATTGCCCCCTATTCACTCTCTGTACGCCATTTAAATGTTATCATGCTCTGCTTTAATTTTTATGATTTTTTGTAGTGAAGATTGCTGGACTTTTGTGGTCTTTTTATCTTCTCCAGCACTACAATATCTTGCTTGAGAAGGAATGTTTACACTGCATTCTAAATATAGGTACATCCTTCATACATTTTGATGCCCTGGGGGATTGTGGACAACTGCACTGGGTGCTGGGGGAATCCACTCCAGATGGAAGTCAGCCCATCAGGGGGAGAAAAGGAGCAGCCCTGGGGGAGACTGACACGTCAGCTGGATATAGCTAGGCACACCAATGGCAGGACGGGGAGGGTTAGCCTTCATGGCAGCAGTCAAGGGTGAGAGCACCCAACTGGGCTTAGGGCATGGGAGGGACAGAGGGCTAAGGGGGCTAGACCCTAACCAGAGGGGACAGGTTACTGGGCTGTGCCCTTAAGGTGGTGGTCCACTAGAGCTAGGGTTGGCCAGAGACAGAGGAGAGAATGGAGCAGAGGGAGTTGGAGGGCTCTGGGAAGTGCTGCTACTGCCATGGGAAGTTGTTGCTTGTTGTAACCTGTTGAAGCCCTCAATAAAGAATGTGTGCTCTGCAGCTGTGGCCTTTGAGTCCTCTTTCCAGCACACATGGAACCATGCCCACAATCCAGCCTACTCTGGGCATTGGCTTTGCAAGCACCATGCGTAACCACACCCACCTCCGCCCAGGGGTCGTTTCGTAGAAAAAGAGCTAGGGGAACTCATTAGCATAACTCATTAGCATATGCCACACCCCCTGACATCACCAGAAGTGTGTCATAAGGCCACACCCCCTGACATCACCGGAAGTGTGTCATAAGGCCACACCCCCTGCCATCACTGGAAGTGTGTCATAAGGCCACACCCACCACTCAGTTAGTCTTAGTCTTAAAGGTTAGTCTTAAAGGTGCTATTTGTTAGTCTTAAAGGTGCTATTTGAACTCTTGGACTATTTTGCAGCAACAGACTAACACAGCTACCTCGGGGAAGCTCCTGGATGGGGCTGGGAGTCCTTGTGGAGGCCATGTGGAGTGGCCTCGGCCAGGCAGAGGGGGAGGACGCCAACTTACCCTCCTGCTTCTTCCTCCTTCTGCAACAGAATGAGGCTGGAAGCAGGGGGCGGCCGGAAGAAGGGGTGGGGCTTCGTCGTGTGCCCCGCCCCCTGCACCTCACCCGGGGCAACTGCGGTGCCCCATGATCCCCCCTGAATTGACCTCTGCCTCCGCCCCAGTCACATAGATTTTATTCTCAGCATGGCCAAATCTGCAGATCCTTACATCCAGAGACTGGAACAACAAGCGGACAAGACAAATCTTTCTACAAACCTGAAGAAGCCTCAGGTTTGCAAAAAGAAAAGTTTGAAAAATTACCCAACCCCTAATAATAGAAGCAGAGCCTGTAGCTTTAGGAAATGAATGCCTTTTCAGTGGCCATTGTGGGGGTTGCTAGGCAGCCACAACAGTACTGCCAGTCTTCAAGCCATGGTTTCTGTCAGTGAAATGATGGGGGAGGCAGCAGGGCCCTTTCCAGGCCTTTGAGGTAGAATGCAGCAGAGGCAGGACTGCCAGCAACCATCGGATGACATGCTACTACCCAACTTGTACAACTCATCCAAGCCCAGCTGCTTGCCACTGCTCAGTAGCAGCCACTCCACAAAAGTCAGTGATGTGTAGTAGTTTGAGTTTCAGCTAAGGATCTGGGAAACCCAGGTTTGAATCCCCACACTACTGTGAAAGCTCACTGGGTGATCTTGGGCCAGATACACATTCTCAGCCTAACCTACCTCACAGGGTTGTTGTGAGATTAAAGTGGAGGAAAGGAGAATGATGTAAATTGCTTTGGGTCCTGGTTGGGGAGAAATACATAAATAAAGTAAATAATAAATATAGCTGAAGTTGGGAGGGCAGGTAAAAGATAGGCTGGTGGGTGGGTGGGAAGGAGAGAAGGAATCAGGAAAAGATGGAGGTTGTTAGGAGGCATGCAGGAGAAAATAATGTGGGGAGAAGCTAAAGAGGAAAATGAAGTAACCCCTGCAAATCCTTGGGGGTTCCCTACCGTGCAACTGAACCCAGTGACCAGCACTATGCCACTGGACCATAGTTTTCCCAGGTAGAGGATGCTAGAGGTGAAAGAGGGAAAATTGAAGATAGGGAGGCAAATAAAGGTAGGTAGGTTGATGGAGGGAAGGAGAGCAAGAAGCAGAAAAAGGGGAGAGGCTATGCGGGCTTTCAGGGAAGTGAAAGACAAAATAGTGCTGGAAGGGGAAAAGGGAATCTCTAAAAGACACTGCAGGTCCCCTGCTTGTAGACATATAATGGCATTGTGATTCTTGCTGTTTTATTTTCTCATATAAGATCTGCATGCACACATGCACACACACACAACCTTTTGGTAGGAACTTAGGTGTTTTCAAATAGAAATAGTAACCAAAAGCCATCATTCTCATAAAAATGGTGTGAGCTGATTTTTTGCAAACACCAGGCATTCTCTCCAAAAGTACACCTCCTTGCTTGGCACTGTTTCAAGTGGTGATGCAAGATGTTCATGGGGAGAGGAGTGAAGGGGAAAAAGAAGGTCAACACCCTGGAGCTAGGTAGCTAATCAGATTTGGCTACATAAGAAGTCACTGAAGGCAAATGAAGTTCTTGCTTTTCCTCACTTTGAATGAGAGGGAATCGAAAGCTCATCAGTTCTGCTGCATGGACATAAAAGCATTCACGTCCAAGCTGCACATGATGACAGCATACCTATCTGTTGAAAGTCTTTTTCATTCATACATACAACAAGAGTGGGAAGTGATTTAAAGGGTCAAAAGGATGAGTGATGCTAAAGAGAGCCAGTTTGGTGTAGTGGTTAAGTGCATGGCCTCTAATCTGAGAGAACCGCATTTGATTCCCCACTCCTCCACTTGCAGCTGCAGGATGACCTTGGGCAAGCCATAGTTCTGTCAGAGCTGTTCTCTCAGAGCTCTCTCAACCCCACCTACCTCACAGAGTGTCTGTTGTAGGGAGGGGAAGGGAAAGGAGTTTGTAAGCTGCTCTGAGACTCTTTTGGGTAGTGAAGGGTGGGGTATAAATCCAATCTCCTCCCCCTCCTCTTCCTCCTTCATGTTCCCCTCCTACCTACAACTTTACCTCAGCAGCTTCTCCCCCACAACTCCACTTCTTCAGTGTCAGTATTACAGCCCAGCAGGAAGAACACTTTGGGGGACATTAAGGTGGAATTAAGGTGAGAGGACTGTTTGGTATCATTTGGACTTTTAAACAACACCCCCCTCAATCTCCCTGTAAATATGGCAAGCTTACCAGGGGTCAAACGGGAGGGAAAATGGCCCCGGAAAAGTGCCCCTCCTAAGAAGGGAGGAAGAGGCAATCTGCCTGCCCAGCCCCTAGCCCACCTTGAGCCCACCCACCACAAGGAGGGAGGGCCAGCCTGCTTGGCCACACGAGGGCCTGGCAGGTGCTGCCTGCCCCTTGCCCCGCTAGGGCTGTGCGAGCTGTGCAAGGGGTGATCAGCCTTCTCTTCTGGTGCGAGGAGGGCCGGGCATGAGGGCCAGGTGGCTGCGCTCTCTGGGCTGGCCTGGCCTTTCTGTGTGTGGGGGAGACGACAACAGTCTCCTGGGAAATGTCTTGGTAGACATAATAGCCAGTTGGCCCCTGGAAGCCTTCATTTAAAGAGTCTGCTGCCATTGTATGATTTAAGGGATGGCCAACCTGTTCATAGATAAATATTTACTATTGCCAGCCTCCGGGCTTGCCAGTCCCCCAGTATGGGTGGGAGAATCCCTGCCTTTTGTTTCCTGCATCTGCTGCAAGTGGTGGCAGGAGAAAAAATTAAAAAAATGGCCATCATGCCTCTCTTGGAACGGCCAGCAACTCCCCCCCCCCAGAATTCACATCACACCACCGGTGCTGATGGCCGTTTCCTCATGCCCCTTTCCCCCCACCCCCAGTCTCCCACAGGAGAACGGGATGCATAGAA